TATTTTATTGATTTTGTACAGAGAGGAAGGGAGAGAGATAGAGAGCTAGAAACATCGATGAGAGAGAGTCATCGATCAGCTGCCTCTTGCACACCCCCTACCGGGGATGTGCCCGCAACCAAGGTACATGCCCTTAACCGGAATCGAACCCGGGACCTTTCAGTCCCCAAGCCGACGCTCTATCCATTGAGCCAAACCGGTCTCGGCATCTCCAGAATTCTTGCTAACATGTTCAGTCTTCCTTATTTTTGCTAATCTAATAAGTGAAATACTATCTCATTCTAATGTGGTCATTTAAAAAGCCATTCCTTTTCAGCAATACTTCCAAAATTTCACCTTTGAGAGCCTTAAAGGTTTTGAGTGGGAGGGGAAAAGCCCACGCCAGGTGGATAGTAGGTAATAGCAGTGATTTATTCCCATCAAGTTTGTCAGGCTTGACTAGAATTACTCAATGTCTCCCAGGACATGCTCACATCTCCCTCAAAGTCTGTGAGATGACAAGATCTGAGGACAGGGCCACCCAGTAGACTGAAGCAAGGCAGGTTCTGGCTTTGGCTTTGTCATTAACTAGCCATGTCACCAAGAAAATGTCCTTTACACTTCAGTGGTTTAAGCATAAAAATGGGATGATATCTTCCACTACAAAGTTAGATAATCCTTTCTCAAATATAATATATGGAAAAGCCCTCAAAAAGCTATAGAAAGACATGAGATGAATGTGGGTATGTGAATCTCCCTTGTATGATTACTTAGCATTCATCTGACTCTTTAAATTCATCACACTCCTCCTCCACTTTTAACTATATTTTTTAGGTTCTGATTATTGTATAGTTTTCCTGATTTCAGCTATCTTTCTCATTCTGATTTGGTGAAATTATACACTGCATTGCTTTTGGAGTTCTTTGAATTATTTTTTGCCTCAGTTGCCTAACTTTTCATTTGCACCTGACTTTCTGCGTCTTTCCATTCTTCCCTCTGGAAAATGCCATATTCTTTCTCTTCTTCTTCCAAACGGTCTGTTCTTTTAGCTTTTTTACTGCTGTCAAATTTTAAACAACAAAGAAATGATAATCCTGCACTGGGTGGTAACATGGTTACTATTCCTGGCAGAAAACACTGAAAAGACAAAAATCAATCATAGCTCCTCTTCCTGACTTTCTAAATATAAATAAATACATATATTTTTTTAGTTTTGCAATTTGAAATTCTGCTGTAAATACTAATTTGTATTCTAGCATACAATGAACATGGTTTTATGTCAATAATCACAGTCTTACATCCTTTTCAATGGTACATACTATTCCACTGTATGGTTATATCAAATTTAACTCAATCCACTTCATAGTTACTTTTTCAAAATTTAAACTTTAACCCACATAGAGTTTATTTTGGCATTTAGCATGAGGTAAAGATCTAACAAAATTAAAACGGTTAACCAACTGCTTTAACAATATATTCTGCAGAGTCCATTGCCCCCAACATAGTGGTTGAGATGTTAATTTTCTCAAATACTAACTTATAATATATGCTTACTCTGGTTTTTAAACTGTTCCACTGAGCCATCTATTTCTGTGTCAATGTCATACATAATTGTAATTTGACATATTCCCATTGTTTTTCTATGTCACTTATCTAGAAGTTCTAAGTGGTAAGTTGCCAATAGAGAAATTTCCTTCTAATCTTTAAAGTTGTCTTAAATACTCATTTATACTTTTCTTTTGCAATGAATAACACCAGCTTTATCGGTTTTGGAATTCTTGTGATGACTCTCATAGAACATTAAATTTAATGAAGATGGCAACTGCACACACTCAGGTTCCATGTACTAGCTTATGACCCAGAATGCAGTTCTGTTTGTTCCAACTCTTACTATACAGAAGTAAAAATTTGCTTTACTTAAAAACATTACTGTCATAACTCATTCCAGTGAAATGTTAACAAAAATATGTGTGGATAATTTAAACTATTAATACTAAAGAAATTTGATATTTACTGTTAAGACAGCATTTAATCAAAATTTTAATTCATGAAGCAAAATGTAAATTTACTTCACCTATATTAATCACTTACATACATTATATAAAGTATACATTATATACTTTAAAAATAAATTATATGCCTAGATTAATATAGCAGCTATGCAGAAGACTTTTTTTCTGTGCAGAAAAAGAACTCATGGTATTGCATTTCTTGAATACTGGTCAAGGTCACCACACATGCCTTCCATACATACTCTCCCTGTGAGCTTAAGCATCTGTATAATTAACCCCGAGTAAAGATCAATCTCCTTCTCCTACACCCTTTCTCTTTTGTTTCTTTTTCTTTTCAAACAACTGATGCTATAAATGTTTTTTCCATTTGTATTACTAGAAGGGAAGCTATATTTAACCATAAGCTACACTGCCGCCCATATTTACCAGTAAATGCTCTGGGACCAATCAGTAGTTGGTTCTTAATTCCACTACTTTCTAGCGTGTTAACCTGGGCACATGACTAACTTCTCTGAGCCTCAATGTTCTTACCTGTAAATTAAGAATAATAATAGTATCTATTTGAGAGAACTATTTTAAAAATTACAGACTTCACATAAAGCAGTCTTTGGCATATGTCTCCAACAGATACCTAATAACTTTGGTAAGGACAAAGTATAGTTATGTGACGTCAAAAGATTCTGGACATTGCTTCAACATCTAATATAATAAAATTCACCAATGTACTTATCCTAACCTTTACTGAATCTTTAAAAAGAAATCTCTTGGGATTACAAGATAACTACCGATTTGCTCTTATTTTTCCTTTTACTACTTTTTTCAAGCTTCAGAGTTCCTTATTTTAGTACTCCCACTCTTCATGATTTATATGGCTTCATTTTTTCCCAAATAAAACTGCTTTTGTAGACATGTCTTTCCATTTTCCTCATCTCCTTATAACTTAAATTCCTGGACCTTTTCATTTTTTGAAGAATTTTTCTGGAGATGAAGTAGTGGAAAGAACAGTGGGCTAGGAGCCAGGAGTCCTCACTGCCATCTATTATATGTCCTCTCAGTCTCTTCTGGAAGACTAGAGCATTGCACTGGATACATCTGTAATAGGTTTCTCTTAGTCTCATCTTTCCATGACTCTGGGTATCCCAACTAGAAATCATTCATTTTCCAACAACTTCCCTAAACTTTCTACTCCGGTTAGGCAAGGAGGCATGGGCATGTTCAGACTTGGGCACAGAGAATGATGCAACAACCAGGAAGCCCAGGACCATGGAAGGCGACACATGATGCTTTATGTATCAATAGAAAAAGACGGATTAATAAGAGAACTCAGACACTACAAAGACAGGAAATTGGTCAGAAACACGCAGCCTAGTACCTTAACCTTCTCCCAACACACCTGTTTGAGGAGGGACTAAGAAACAGCAAGAGCTTTCGGCAGCAGAGGCGATCCTCAGGGGAGCCTGTAACGCGCCATCTTTGCAATGCTGAGGCTGCAATGGCCCGCCACAGCGCTCTGCAGAAAACAGGCATTACTGGAAGTATGTGATGACTGCACGGAAAGCCCTTATAAGTGCTACTGCCGCTGCTACATACCAGGAAATCTGAGAGCTCAAGGCCATGGGAATTAGATGGCACTGGCTGCCCTGGTTCTAAAGGAAGGAGACTGGGCTAGTTGAAAGGGGGCAAGGGGAGTGAGGATGGTAGCAATTGGGTGTGTTGATACTGAATAGCCTCCAGAAGGAAAAAGGACTGGTCTGTGGGCACTGGCTACCTCTCAACTACCAACGCAATATTAGAAATATGTATGGAAGTCATTTCCTACCCTGGTGTCAGAGTCCAAGAAAACACTCTCTTTTTTGAAGTTTCCTTCCGCTCGGAGCTTCCAGGCTGGTTAGGGGGCAGGAAAGAGGAAATCAACAAAGGGGTAAGGGAGCTGGGCGGCCCAAGCATCCCCAGGCCGGCCCTCCAGCGGCGTTTCCCCAAGAGGGGTCCCTGGATCACCAGGACCAGACCAAGGGGCTGCTTGCGTAAAGGCATACTCCGGACCCATCCCAGAACGCTAGTCGGATTGCTGGGAGTGGTGCTGGCATTCTTAAGGAGCAACTTTATGTTTGAGAAGCTCTGCGCCAGCATTTGGGGGTTGGGGGGCAGTTGAGAGGGAAGCTCTTTGATTCTGGATTCATCATATTCCACTAATATTATACAACACTCTTATAATATTTGGTTTTGGGAACCATTAAAAAACCCTCCATTTCTCAGGTAGCAGCCAACAGAGGCACAACTAGAGGGCTTGGAACACGCATTTTCACAAACTGGCCAACAGTTCCTCCGCAGCCTTCTTTATCCCGTTATTCTGCTGGCTGGTTTGTTTATAAACAAAACGTTTCAATCCAGGAAATTTCAGAGAGAATCAACAAACTCCAAAACAGAAGAGGTTTTTTTTTTTTGATGGTGTAAACCCGAAGACACTGCCTGCTACAGAAAGTGAGTTTTGTGTAAAAGGAAATGACCGGCTAAGGCTCGTCTGCAGGCAGAGCCCGGGAAGCCGGTGCCTGCGGTGACAGGGAAGGCGGAAGCCGGGGGAGGGCGGGCAGAGGCGCTCCGCTCCAGTTTGGGAGGAAGACCGACCGGATACGTGATTCTTAACGAATTCAATTAATTGCCAGAAAGAAATCGTGTCTGCAAACGCTCATCCATAAACACCGCCAAGTTCCCGTCCTTCCCGGCGGGACAGAAACACCGAAGGCCTGCGGGAGGCACACCAGTCACACTGCCCGGCCCCCACGACCGAGCTTCCATTCCCGCCGTGACCCCTCCCGGCGGCCAGCCTCGCCCTTGGCACCAGGACGGCGCCGGAACCCGTCTTCCCGGCGAGGGTTTCGGTGCCGCGTGGGGGTCGGACCAAGAGGACTTCCGCCCAGCGGCGCCCCGAGGTGACGCCCTCCACCCCCCACCCCCCCAGGCACCCCGCCACCCGGACACAAAGGCAAGTCTCTGGCCGCCGCCACTCACCTGCCGCTCCCGCCTCTGCCCGAATCCGCCCGGGAGGCGAGGCGCGCTGTCCGCGCCGCGAGGAGCTCCGCGGGGACCGCCGTGCCCAGGGCGCGCGCCCCCTGCCCGGCCGGCGCGCCCACGCGGCTGAGTCACCGGCGCTTCACGTTAAGAGTCCCCGCGGCGCGCGGGGCACGCCGGGAAGGCGGGGCGCGGGCCGCGGCCCCGGCCCCACGCGGGGGCGGCCCTTCCCTTCCCCGCGCGCCAGCCGGACCGAGCCGGGCCGCTCCCCCCGCACGGCCGGGTGGACGCCGTTCCTGAGCCCCGGAGAGCTTCTCCCATGAGAGATGTAAAGCGGAAAGGGCGGTAGTTACCTGAGCTGTGAAGTAAACTCGCGCCGCCCCAGGACAGCAGTGCTCATAGAACGCGGTGGAGCCCTGTCCTCTCCTTTCGAGGGAAGGAGGTGGTAAGAACAAAGGAATTGTTCCAACACGTCCTGCTTGGAAACCCCCATCCTGAGTACGCATTCTGACCAAAAGAAAGGGTAAAGACTTTCCCCCCCAAACCTGAGTGTAATGAAACTACATGCTATAGCAAACAAAGTTGGATTACAAATTTTAAATGAACTGGAAACAAATTATTGGAAAACTGGTTGTTACGAGAAAAACATTTTAACATTCAAAAACATCTAGGTATGACCCTATAAAACTAATGCTAGAAAACATGAAAGGGAAGAAATAGCAACAATCCCTCATCTGATCTTAGAGGTCTAGAGGTCATTCCCCATTTCTACTCTCACTTCTCTTTAAGTGACTGTAAGGAATCCAGTATTGTGTTTGAGTCTGGATGGGTAGTTTATGCTGCTGATTAGTAAAATAAACAATTGGAGTGTTAATAGGATTCACACTTCACACCCGAAGTAAAAACGGAGGATTATTCGAACAAATGCCTTTATTTCCATTTCTATAATGTACACAGTGTTATGCCCTTCAAATAAAAAGGAAGAAAAGGGGGAAAACAACAACAACCCCTTCTAATGTTCTTGCAAGAATACTTGCACCAAAACCTTTTCTGGAAAAGTTGCACTCTGCAGATTTGTAATATACAAAAATCTGACCCAAAGGTTGGAGAACCAGGAGAACTACTCTCTTTTAGTTAATAGTTAAGACTTTTATCTGTGATCTTATATAATGAATTTTATATAGTGAATGAATAGCATACCAGACCTGATTTTTTTTTTTAGTAGACATCAAGGAGATGGAGTATAACGTATATTCACAGAAAGCACATGTGTATGCTGATTTTTATCATTTTATTTCTACATTAGTGCATCTCCAAAACCTGAATCTCTCAGATATACTTATATCTGAAACTGAAACCCTTCCTAAAGTCAGTTGTCTTAATGGCCAATCCATCTCATTAACTTACTTAAGTCTCCTTAAATATAACACCTTTTAACAGTAATCATTACAAAGTACTTTCCCTAATATTTTATATCACTTAAATTTCTCAACAACTCTGGGAGATGGAGTTGATTACTCAGATTCACAAATGAGGAAGGCAAGACATGAAGTATCCAAGCTCATTAACTATCATACTAAGTGGTGCTGAAGAACTGAGAACCCAAACCTTCTGACCGCCCTCCCTCCCCCCAGGTGTGGCCTCCCACCTAACCGCATCCCGGTGAGCTCCTTTGCACTCCAGGAGGCATCTTAAATGTCTTCAGTTGTTAAGCCAAATAAGTAATTTTAGGTTGACTCTAAGAATGGAAATGTTTTTAAAACAATAGCTGTTATCAAGGATCTAATAAGAAACTATTCTTCCTACGTACTACAGCATATGTGCAATAGTAAGCAACCCAAAAATCCCAATGTTTTTAAGCTCTCAAAGTAATTACACTTGCAATTTTTAAACTAAATGTTTGGCTAAGTTATATGATCTCTAGATCCCTGCAGACAAATCATATGAGACTGAAAGAATAATCACTTTCCTTTGAAATCCAAGTTGTGCTCAGATATAGATGGAAATAATTATTTAATTTCTAACTTTCTAGAGGGAAGCTGGCCAGAACCCTGCATACTGAACCCAAATAGATTCAGAAGAATCCCTTCTCACTTCCATCAGTTCATCTGTGTTAACAATTTCTTCATGAAAGCCACAAAGGCTTGCTACCAGCAGCAAACACACTGGACCTTGAATACATGTTCAACCAGAGAATCAAGAATTTTAAGTTTCTTAGTGGCTTGAATTTACTATGGTATCTTCATTAATACACATCTGCCTTACAAACAACTTCAGTGTGCCTCTTAGTCTCATTTATAGGGAATGTCTCATATGCAAATTAGTAGCCACAGTTCAACGATTTAGGAACCCAAGAGAACTACGTAGATGATGATGCTGAGATCTCTCCTCTAAAGGAACTTTAAAAAGTTAAGTTTGGTTATTTGGGTAACGAAATACGAGATAAAGGGAAGTGAATCTACGTAAAAGCATTCCACTATTATGTGAAAGAGAAATAATAGAAGATCCCAGTTTTGCAGCCCCCCGTGAATCAGTAGATGTAGGCGTTGTACATCAATGTTTTCAAAGATCAGAGAGAGAACTGGACATTCTTTACCTCTTGAGGGGCAGCCATGCCACCACCTAAAATACCACTGATAGAATCAAACCCCAATCTCACCAAGACTTGCCATCCACCAGCCAGTGTGTAGGAAACACAGGGAGAGAGGAACATGCTGAACTGCACCATGAACATGCAGTTTGCAAAGTCCTGCCTATGGAAGACTGCTGGTCTACAGGCCTCTCTTTAAAAGACAAACTGTAAATTAAAACAAAAACACACACACACACAAAAAACAAACAACAACAAAAAACAACACCTTAAGAGCTTTATAAAAAATTTTAAGTGTGTGTATGTGTGTGGGGGTCAGGGACTCTACTGTTCTGGGGTGAGCATTTGGGTGGTAAAACCATTAAAGAAAAAGCGAAGGGAAAGGAATTGCAGCGCTATGGGCGTTAGGTAGTGGTTACGTATTAGGTGGCAGTGGTAGGGAAGCAGTTGTGATTGAGAAGGGACACGTGGAAGGGGCTTCTAAGGAAGGGCAATGAAGTTTTGTTTCTTGACCTGGTGGTGGTTACAAGGGTGTTTGCCTTTAAAAAGTTCGTTAAGGCAGACATTTCCTTTGTTTTATTTTATAATAAAAAGATTTCAAAGAAAAGTTTGGAGGGTGAGGCCAGTCCTACCTGAGTGTAAATACATTTTCTTCACACAGAGCTATTTGCAAATATATCCATTTGGTTTCCTGGGGCAATATTAAGGTTAAATTAATTTATTGATTTTTCTACAGAGAGGAAGGAAGAGGGATAGAGAGCTAGAAACATCGATGATAGAGAGACATTGACCAGCTGCCTCTTACACACCCCCTACCGGGGATGTGCCCGCAACCAATGTACATGCCCTTGACCAGAATCGAACCCGGGATCTTTCAGTCCTCAGACTGACGCTCTATCCACTGAGCCAAACCGGTTTTGGCAAGGTTAAATTACTTTAAAAAGAAAAAAAATAAATGCTTTAAAAAGAGCAAATCCTTTGAAAGATATTCCACATTGTAATACAATTTTGGAATTTTATTCAGCTACTAGAGGCCCGATGCATGAAATTCATGAAAGAGGCTCAGCCCTCACAGTCATAGCAGCTTGCCTCAGCCCTCATAGCCCCAGCTTCTTCTGGAAAGTGGTTCAGAAGGTCGTTTGGCTGTCCGCCTAATGAGCATATTATGCTCTTATTATAGATTCAGTCTGCTTTTTAGAAGCTAAGGAACAGGTAGATAGTAGAGAGGAAAGCTAAAATGGAATGATGAAAGATAAAGGGACAAGAATAGTTACTTGGAGCTCAATGGTTAAATTTCAGTAGCGAGCAGGAAAGTAACCCATTAACATTTCCCATTGAGACTTTGATGAGGGCATGAGCGCCCCTACTTCCCCACCTGCCTGCCAGGACAATGTCTCATGTCTCAGGATGGAATGGCTTTTTACAAGTACATAGAATGCTCAGCTTGGAATTCAAGAATCAAACGCATCTCTGTAAGTGGTGGTCCTGGGGGCAGTCAGCCTGGGAGAGTCAGGAAAGGTGGAAGTATGCTGCCACAGGCTGCGGCAGCGAGCGCGGGTGTAAACTGATAATATGTTTATCTCCGCTTCCTCCTGTTACCAGCTTACACACAGACTCTGACCTTCCCAGCCGGGGCCCCAGCGCTGCCGGCTCATGTTGCCTGTTTGTGAACACACAAGTCTCAATTTTGAACCCAATGCCGGAAAGTTTTACTAAGAATTCTGGGAAGCTTTTAATGATATATTTTTATTGATTTCAGAGAGAAAGGGAGAGGGAGCGAGAGAGAGAAGCATCAATGATGACTGAGAATCACTGATTGGCTGCCTCCTGCACACCCCTCACCCCGCAACCTAGGCATGTGTCCTGGCCAGGAATCAAACTGTGACACTCAACCACTGAGCCACACTGGCCAGGCTGGGAAGTTTTTTTAATATATGAATTTAAAATAAACTGCACTTGAAAAAAGTATATAAATAGACAAGCCCCAAAATATGTATTCTTCATACTAGGATCTCAACAGCGGACTTGGGGCTTATGATGAAACGGGCTGCAGTCACCCTGAGCCGCCGCAGACAGCCATGAGATTCCTTTACCTTGTTCGCATCACACCTCCTCCTCTCCCCAAACTTCCAATAACCGAGAAAAGCCAAATCTGTTTACCAAAGCATGCGGCCTGACCCCTTACATCCAGTCGTTTTATAATGAAAAGCAGAGAATGGGAACTAGCGAGTCCAGAAAGGTTTTTCTGAGGAGCCAGTGTTCTTGCTCATTTGGAGCCGTGTTGCCTTCTTGGAAATAAGTCAGCATCTGCAAATGTAAAGGCACCTGGAAAGGAAATATAAAAGCATGAAGTGGTATCACATTCATATGACAGTGTGATGTAGTGAGAAAAACTTGGAAAAAGAGCCAAATGACCTCGGTGTAAGGTCATTTCACCACTTACTGACAGAGCAAGCCATGAGTAAGCTTGGGTTTCTTAATCTGTAAGATAATAACTGACCTATCTTTGCTATGAGGTTGTTATGAGGAAGAAAACATAATCAAAATTATGTAAAAGCATTTTCTAACCTCAAAGCACTAGAGAAATGTAAGGTGCCATTAGCGTTAATGTTATATACACACTCCGTGCAAACCGATATTATCTAAAAGGAATACCCAAAGACTTTTTTATGAGATAAAACTGCCCTCTTAATGTCATCTATAAGTTGTATGTTAAAATATACTAGTTCCTTTAACATTTATTATGCAGTTTAAATGAATATAAAAACATGTTACAGTGATTAAATATTTTCAATATTTTTTCCTTTTATCCATAATCACTGATAACAATAGAGTTACTATGTTAGAGAGAATTTGACATCTTTTTTTAAAAAATATATATATTTTTTGAGTTTTTACAGAGGAAGGGAGAGAGAGAGCTAGAAACGTCGATGAGAGAGAAACACTGACCAGCTGACTCTTGCACACCCCCTACCGGGGATGTGCCCGCAACCAACGTACATGCCCTTGACTGGAATCGAACCTGGGACCTTTCAGTCCGCAGATCGATGCTCTACCACTGAGCCAAACCGGTTTCGGCTTGACATCTTTTCTTAAGGGGACATTTGGTTCTCTATTAAATGTGTTCTTTTTAATGATTTTTAAAAATGGTACTGTAAGTAATTGCCCTCAAAGATTCTTATTCTTAAAAGGTTGCCAAACACACACACACACACACACACACACACCCCTAGGCTAGATCTGGAAGGAATTGCCAACAGTCCTTCCTTATTGCTCTTTGATTTTAAATCATATGAGAGCAACATCTGAACAAGGTTGAAGAAAGCAATTTCAGGAAGTTCCGCTTCTTGCTCTGAATCTTATAGCACATAACACCTAAGTTTCACTAGTAATTGGGTTGTTCTCTCTTGTTTTTATTTATTACTAGAGGCCTGGTGCACAAAATTCATGGATGGAGGTGGTGTTTCTCAGCCCAGCCTGCACCCTCTCCAATCTGGGAACCCTCGAGGGATGTCCGACTGCCAGTTCAGGCCCGATCCTACAGGGCAGTCGGACATCCCTCTCACAATCCAGGACTGCTGGCTCCCAACTGCTCACCTGCCTGCCTTCCTGATTTCTCTTAACCGCTTCTGCCTGCCAGCCTGATCACCCCCTAACCTCTACCCTTCCTGCCAGCCTGATTGATGCCTATCTGCTCCCTTGCCAGCCCGATTGCCCCTAACTGCCCTCCCCTGCTGGCCTGGTCACCCCCAACTGCCCTCCCCTGCCAATCCGGTCACCCCTAATTGCCCTCTCCTGCCAGCCTCATCGCCCCTAACTGCTTTCCCTTGCTGGTCTGGTCCCCCTTAACTGCTCTGTTCTGCAGGCGTGGTCCCTCTATCTGCTCTCCCCTGCAGGCTTGGGTCCCCCCCAACTGCCCTTCCCTGTAGGTTTAATTGCCCCCAACTGCCCTCCCTTGCAGGCCTGGTCCCTCCCAACTGCCCTCCCCTGCTGGCCATCTTGTGGCAGCCATCTTGTGTCCACATGTGGGCAGCCATCTTTGATCACTTGGGGCAGTCATCTTGTGTGTTGGAGTGACAGTCAATTTGCATATTACTATTTTATTAGATAGGCCTAGAGGCCCGGCACACAAAATTTGTGCATTGGGAGGTGGGGGTCCCTCAGCCCAACCTGCATCCTCTTACAATCTGGGAGCACTTGGGGGATGTCGGACTGACAGTGGGACATCCTTAGCGCTGCCACAGAGGTGGGGGAGGCTCCCGCCACTGCCGCTGCGCTCACCAGCTGTGAGCCCGGCTCAGGGCTTCTGGCTGTGGGAGCACACTGACCACCAGGGGCAGCTCTTGTGTTGAGCATCTGCCCCCTGGTGGTCACTGCATGTCATAGTAATTGGTTGTCCTGCTGTTCGGTCGATTTGCATATTATCTTTTTATTATATAGGATCTTTTATTTCTAGAAGTTTCAATTTGCTTTTTAAAAAGAACTTTATATTTTTATTTCAGAGAGAAAGGAGAGGGACAGAGAGATAGAAGCATCAATAATGAGGGAGAATCATTGACTGCCTCCTGAATGCCCCCACTGGGGATCAAGCCAGCAACCCAGGCATATGCCTTTGACTAGAATTGAACCTGGGATCCTTCAGTCCACGGGCGACTCTTTATCCAGTGAGCCAAACCAGCTAGGGCATACTTTGTTCTTTTCGACATCTTCTATATATCTTCTTATTTTGCTCATGCTTTCCTTTAAGTTCCTCAACATATTTATAATAGCTGTCTAAAATTCTTGTCTGTTTTCGATCATTATTGTGTTTTTTAGTCTATATTTCCTGATTTTGATTCCCACTTTCCTGTTTTTTGCAGTAATTGCTAAGTGTCTACATTTTTTGTTCTTTTAAAGAGCAGCTTTACTTGGAAGATGGTTAAATTGGCCACAGCTCTGTTGGTATGGACTTATGGTGGCCTTTAATCTAGGATTATTTAGGCTTAATATCAAGGCATGGCCCTCCTGGGTTCTGTATTAACTGCACCAGATGTTCAAAAAGGCCTCATTACTGTGTGGGATCAGAACTCTACCACCTCTCAGTTCTTTGTTAGTGCTGGGACTTGTTCAGCCTACAGCTTCCTAGTAGTTTGTTCTGTTCTCAGTAATTATTCTTTGACCAACCACTTGAAATCTCATAAACATGCAGGGCACAGTGTTCAGCTAGAGACCCAA